TGTGGTAGGTGCCATGCATGCGAGCGCTGATCAGATCAGAGGTGCACCGGTGGCGTGCGCGAGCTAGGTGAAGTGAAAGAAATCATCATTGTTTTTGCCAAGTGCTGTTACACGTAATAATAGTAAGTCGTTGTGCTCATATCACTCGCATTCTTACAGTGGTCTTTGCATTTCAGGCTGCTCCTTCTAGCGAGCCAACGCCGTGCTTGGGTTTGGTAGTTGATAAAGTAAGTAATAGTTAGTTGTTGCATGATCGGTTGATCTGAGCAGACAACAAATCGCTGCTAGTAGTAGTGATAGTCTCACCATCGTACGGCTCTGTTCGGTGCAAACTGGAGCACGAACCGGACGTTTCTGTTATTGCTGGCAGGCTGCGGACGGAACTAGCGAGGAGACTTCGCTCCGTCTCTGGGAACTAGTACAGAAGTTTGCTGTGTCTTGGAAAGTGACTGGGACGCTTTCTCCTGTCGGAAAACAATCAGTGCTCACGTATTGGTCTACTTCGACTTACGCCGTTACGGCAGCAAGTGTGGAGGAGTAAATCCCGATTGTGCTTGCTTTGTTAGCGATGAAGCCCGCTCAGCAGCTAGGCTTGTTGTTCGCCCTGTTCGCTGTGTGCTGCCTGTACTTCGGCGTGGTGTGGAGCTTTGACAATGGTCTCCTGATGCTGGGCAATGCGGCCTTGATGATCAGTTTCGGTCTAATCCTGGGCCCGTGGAGCGTGGTGGAGTTGTTTATCGGCGGTGCACGTGGCGTACTGCCGTTCCTGCTGGGTGTGGCGCTAGTATTCTATAACTACAGAGTACTGGGCATGGTGATAGAGCTGTACGGAGCTGTGGTACTAGTAATGGCAGCACTGCCACAGTGGTTACAGCGTGCTAGACAGCTGCCGTTCATCGGCTGGATCGTGCCGAAAGTATTCCCGTCGGCGTTCCGTAACAACAACTCGTTGCCACGACGACACGCACAAATCACGAGCACGGCAACCGATAGCGATTCCGACGGTGACGGCAACGCTGCTATGCAGCCGAGCAGGACCGGGAGTGAGGACAGGGATCGCTCTCCGTTGCAGCGCAATCCCCGGTGGCCGCGCGGTGCACAGATGGACGGGGCGTTGGAGGATGCGAAATCTGAATACGATGCCGATCAGGAAGCTGATCTCCGGCGGGCAAGAGTAACTGGTATACGACCAAGACCTAAATTAGCATCTATTGGAAGACGCATGACGGTGTACTGAGGGTTATACGACCAAGACCTAAGCTATCATCTTTTGGCAGAAGAATTATGGTGTACTAAGTATGACTGGTAGGTGTCACTAGTCAACTGGAGATGATGGGTGTGCTGAGTGGAAACGGAGTTCAGTGAGATATCTTGGTGCTTACTCCCATGTGTATGCGTGTGTGGGTGTGCATGTGTGCTCGTATGTATGTGTGTGTGTGTGTATGTGTGCGTGTGTGTGTGTGTGTGTGTGCGTGTGTGTGTATATGTTTGGCCAGAAAAAGCCACTTCAATCAGCTGTGTGGTGGATACCAGGCTAAAATTAGTGGCGGTCAATTCATCAGCCTTGCAAACTGTTGAATGGTGTAATCCCAGCACAACTTTGCTATGTCTAACATAGCTGTTCGCTATCATCGCCTCCGCGATGGGCAGGTCTGAGGTCTGAGGTATATGTGTGTGTGCACGTGCGTGAGAAAGCCAGTGTCCCCGCTACTGATGCTTCCCCAGCCATATCTCTCTTCTAATAGGCATTTACACAATTGAAGAAGACTATTAGTCGTCGCGCACCTTGCAAGAGCCAGGAGTCAGGTCTGTACTGTGGCACACGGTCGCATGCAATTGTGCTGTCATAGACTATAGTGTCACATGGTCACATGCAGCTGTACCGTTGTGCAAATACCGTTATGGAGTTTTCATTCAAACAGCGAGTGCAAGGTGCTTTATCTTATTGTTACAATTAAAATTTCCTCTAGTAGTGTGATTTAAATTCCTCTTTGCTGTATTACGGTATAGGAACACTTCTGTTATACCGTACTGGTGCAACTTGAGTATATATAAGTCCGACATCATACCATGTGTAACGTGTATCAGTTGAGTCTGTGCTGTGCGGAGAGTATGTATAGAATAACCGACCTAGCTGTGTGCTCTGTGGAGATTATGCATGATTGTGTAGATAGCCAACCTAGCTGTGTGCTCTGTGGAGATTAAGATTGTATAGACAACCGACCTAGCTGTGTGCTGTGTGGGTAGACGTTAGACAACCGACCTCACATGTGCTGGGTGCTGTGTGGAGAGCATTGACCTAACATGAGCTGGGTGCTGTGTGGAGAGCATTGACCTAACATGAGCTGGGTGCTGTGTGGAGAGCATTGACCTAACATGAGCTGGGTGCTGTGTGGAGAGCATTGACCTAACATGAGCTGGGTGCTGTGTGGAAAGCATTGCGTAGACCAGCGGCCTAGCTGTGTGTCATTGAGAGCATGATATGACTTGGTGTAGACAAGCAATGTAGCTGTGCATTGTGGATGTGTAGACAATCGACCTACATGTAGCTGTGTGTAGAGCATTGTGTAGACCAGCGGCCTAGCTGTGTGCTGTGTGGAGATTATGTGTAGACCATCGACCTACAGGTAGCTGCATAGTTCACAGAGGTACCGTGGAGAGGGTCAGGGGGTGATCACAGCAGGCAAGTAAACCGCAACTGGCACACTAATCTTCATAGCTTAATTGATTTACTGAAGAAATGTTAGACAATGCAGGCCTGGTGGAACTGGTCCGGTTGCTCAGGGCATGACCAGACCAACCTTTTAGGCCACAAAGACGTGTTTACTGCTGAGGAGGTCATGACTGTGTATGCCCTCCATATCCAGTGTCTGCTCCAGAGCCGGGTCAGCGGCCCGGTTGGAGGGCACTTGGACCCGTTTGGAAAAAGAACACCGGGTCACCTGTGACCGGGTTGGGAATACATCAGGGAGCCCTGAACTATTTACAACTCCCTGATGTATATGTACATGTACGTGCAGTAGCCACACTTGAATGTACCCGTCCCTGACCCAGTTGCAAGAGCTGTGCCAGGTACATGTGTACCCGGTTGCAAGAGCTGTGCCAGGTACATGTGTACCCGGTTGCAAGAGCTGTGCCAGGTACATGTTTACCCGGTTGCAAGAGCTGTGCCAGGTACATGTGTACCCGGTTGCAAGAGCTGTGCCAGGTACATGTGTACCCGGTTGCAAGAGCTGTGCCAGGTACATGTGCACCCGGTTGCAAGAGCTGTGCCAGGTACATGTGTACCCGGTTGCAAGAGCTGTGCCAGGTACATGTGTACCCGGTTGCAAGAGCTGTGCCAGGTACATGTGTACCCGGTTGCAAGAGCTGTGCCAGGTACATGTGTACCCGGTTGCAAGAGCTGTGCCAGGTACATGTGTACCCGGTTGCAAGAGCTGTGCCAGGTACATGTGTACCCGGTTGCAAGAGCTGTGCCGGGTACATGTGTACCCGGTTGCAAGAGCTGTGCCAGGTACATGTGTACCCGGTTGCAAGAGCTGTGCCAGGTACATGTGTACCCGGTTGCAAGAGCTGTGCCAGGTACATGTGTACCCGGTTGCAAGAGCTGTGCCAGGTACATGTGTACCCGGTTGCAAGAGCTGTGCCGGGTACATGTGTACCCGGTTGCAAGAGCTGTGCCAGGTACATGTGTACCCGGTTGCAAGAGCTGTGCCAGGTACATGTGTACCCGGTTGCAAGAGCTGTGCCAGGTACATGTGTACCCGGTTGCAAGAGCTGTGCCAGGTACATGTGTACCCGGTTGCAAGAGCTGTGCCAGGTACATGTGTACCCGGTTGCAAGAGCTGTGCCAGGTACATGTTTACCCGGTTGCAAGAGCTGTGCCAGGTACATGTGTACCCGGTTGCAAGAGCTGTGCCAGGTACATGTGTACCCGGTTGCAAGAGCTGTGCCAGGTACATGTGTACCCGGTTGCAAGAGCTGTGCCAGGTACATGTGTACCCGGTTGCAAGAGCTGTGCCAGGTACATGTGTACCCGGTTGCAAGAGCTGTGCCAGGTACATGTGTACCCGGTTGCAAGAGCTGTGCCAGGTACATGTGTACCCGGTTGCAAGAGCTGTGCCAGGTACATGTGTACCCGGTTGCAAGAGCTGTGCCGGGTACATGTGTACCCGGTTGCAAGAGCTGTGCCAGGTACATGTGTACCCGGTTGCAAGAGCTGTGCCAGGTACATGTGTACCCGGTTGCAAGAGCTGTGCCAGGTACATGTGTACCCGGTTGCAAGAGCTGTGCCAGGTACATGTGTACCCGGTTGCAAGAGCTGTGCCGGGTACATGTGTACCCGGTTGCAAGAGTTGTGCCAGGTACATGTGTACCCGGTTGCAAGAGCTGTGCCAGGTACATGTGTACCCGGTTGCAAGAGCTGTGCCAGGTACATGTGTACCCGGTTGCAAGAGCTGTGCCAGGTACATGTGTACCCGGTTGCAAGAGCTGTGCCAGGTACATGTGTACCCGGTTGCAAGAGCTGTGCCAGGTACATGTGTACCCGGTTGCAAGAGCTGTGCCAGGTACATGTGTACCCGGTTGCAAGAGCTGTGCCAGGTACATGTGTACCCGGTTGGTTTGAAATCCTAAAGCAGACACTGATACGCATACACAAAGTATAAAAAGGCTAGGGTGCGGCTGGAGCAATCAAAAACTGCTTCAGCCTGTCCTGCAATGGCAGGCTCTATTTTGCCCTTTGTAAGTGTCCCTCTCAGAGCACTGACCCGTGCAACAGTTTACTGCTCGAAGCAAATATCCAAACAAAGTCAGGTCATGCAATTATAGGTATCAAGATTTTTTTATTGAACTTGAGCCCTTATTATGCAAGGAGCACATTACCAACTGATCATTGATATATTCCTTTCTATACACCTGGAATGACTGGGGTGCAATGAGCAATTGTTCAGGCGACGTGTAATAGTAATACACGCAATAGTGCTACATGCACTCATCAGTTGGAGGGAGGTGAACTAATGATTTTGTTTACACAATGGTCACTCATTATCAAACGTGACGTTAATATGCATTGAGCGTGAACGTGGATTAGCAGCAAATTCAGAAGTAAGCGACAGTGTGATCATTCATTACGCAAGGCACAGTGCTTGCTATTATGCAATGGGCTCTCAACATGATAATTATTATTATCATCACTACTAGCATGGCCGTTCTGACCTTTGCTGTGAGGAAATTCATAATGTAAAATAAAAAATCAACTCGGCCAGCTTTACGCAAAATCATGCAGTGTTAGATCATTGTCAAGAATACAGCTGCCGTTGAACCTCAGGAGTGATTTAGCTGCAATTTGAACAGCTGCTCATCCATTCAGTAATCATCAGGCAGTGTATTGTTAGAAACGGGAAGATCAGTGATCCTGCAAATATCACTGGGACTTGCCGCTGTGAAAACAAGTTATACGTGACTTGGAGATTTTTATTTTTATGTTGCTACTGCTGCCCTCTACTGCTCTGTTGCTGTTCAGTGTGCCGGAAGATCACTTTGTTATCATCTCAATTAGTTCTCATTAGGTATCAATGCTACAGACGTCGCATAACTGCGCTGGGGGTGAACGCCGCTGATTTGCTTCAACTGCTGGTTGTCAATTGCGGGTCCGCAGTGGACAACACGATGGCAGTGGATGTGTGCAAGTGTGCGTCGTGTATGCAAGCATTTAACTGTTATCATCAAAGTGCTCCCATGGCAGTTAGAGACTGGGCACTGCAAGACATCCTGGTAAGCTACAGTGCCATTGTGTTTACATGTACACACACACACACACACACCACAAACTGCACACCTGGGCTCACACATCACAAACTGGACACCACTGCTCACACACCACAAACTGCACACCTGGGCTCACACACCGCAAACTGCACACCTGGGCTCACACACCACAAACTGGACACCAGTGCTGACACACCCCAAACTGGACACCTTGAAGCCTGGGCTCACACAGTGTTCACCTGGGCTCCCACAGCATGTCGTGTTCACGTCCGGCTTAGCCTGGGCTCACACAGCATACCGTGTTCACCTGCGACTTAGCCTAGGCTTGACTGGCGGTTTGTGATAGGCGTTCTGCAGTGTGGTAAACTCCTCAGGCAGATGGGCAGCATTGTGCGGCAGGCCGAGGTACTGGACGACTTTCAGCCCCACCGCCGTGCTGCTTGCTGTGGAACACACACTGGCTCTGCTGGGTGCATCCTTCGATTCCGCTGTGTTGTCTGCTTTGATGCTGTTCAGCCTGGAGAGGATCTGTGTGGCCGTGGGACGCTTGCTTGGTGTTGTGTGCCTACACGAGTAGCAGATTACATAACAATGAAGAAGGAGGGAAGAGGGGAGCATTAGATTATGCAATAATGGTTTGTGCGTGTGTGTGTGGGGGGGGGGGGGGACATCACTTGGGTCCAGGAGTGCATGTGCATGGTTTTCAATGAAATCCAACTATCATGAGTCATCCAGCTCCGGGCAGTGTGCAACTCCAGCCTTGTAAATGCTGGGTTGTGCACCGATGCAGAGTGGCGCTATGCACCCCAAGGCTCAGTGCAAACACTGGGTTGAGCACCAATGGAGGGCAAACATTGACCTGCACGCTGGTATGTGTACTGGCGCAGAGGGTAGGTTCTTTCATGATGTCGGATTTAGTCATGGCCATAACATGCTTCCGCGGTTGCAGGGGTTCGTATGGCCGTAGGCGAGACCACGGCTTCTTGCACCGCTGTCTGTCCAGGTCAGTGGCCTAGACGGTATTAAACGTGTTTCAATTGTCTGGTTGTTTCTTTGTATGCGTCCATGGAGCTATGAAGCCGAGACCTCTGGTCGGCGGAGCTTAATGGGCCCCACCACCACACTCCATCATTCACCCCAGTGTCTGGAGATATGTGGATTTTGTAGAAAAAAATGCGTTGCTTGCTTACTTGTAGTTTGTCTCCTGCAACCATGTTTCAACATTGTTAGTGCTTACGTTTGGTGATTTTGTTGCAGCGTGACCGCCAACTGCCATCTTCTCAGATTTGTGTTGGGTTTTAGTTCCCGTTATGGCAACAAAGAATTGGATTGAGTTTTTTCTTTCTTCAGATTCTTGACGTTTTGTTCATTTTTTTTGGTATTGAGACTTTCTGTCATAATAATTATGTAAGCACATTTGCTTTGCCCATAGAAGAGGTTTGTTTTATCATGGCTGTAAATGTCCAGTGTTGCTCAATGATATCCGATTGCGTGAATCTAGTATGCGCCATGCTCCTGCCCACATCCCAGTGCTCACAGGTCTACAGTCTAGGGCTGCACAACGCCTGGCGTGGCATTCACTCTCTTGATCTGATTTCATAGAGAAACACTGCATGGTACTCTAGCATACAGCAGTACGTACCAGCATTCAATCATGAGTCGGTAGAGTTCCAACGGGCAACCTGGCGGTGCAGGTAGACGATATCCAGCACACACGTCTTCGGCTACCTTGACGGCCGGATGCGGGAAGTACGGCTTACGTCCGAGAGACCAGATCTCATACAGCACCACGGCGTAGCTCCAGATATCACTGCCGATGGAGAATTTACGCTTTAGTATCACCTACAACAGTATGTACGCACACACGGATACACACACACGTACACACATCCAGAAAAACACACATGTACAGTATACACATACAAATATGCACACATTATACATATGCACACAAACACACATGCATACATACACACGCCAGCACACAACCGTGCAAACACACACACAAACACACACACAAACACACACATACACAAACGAACACCCATGCGAACACACGCACCAAAGCACAAACACACCTATACCCCCCCCCCCCCCCCCCCCCACAGCATACACCACAGCATACACATAGACAAAGTGCCATAGACATGGGAGGTGAGCAGCTGAAGGTACGATGCCTTTGTCCATACACAAGGATTAAGGCACTCAGTCCATAGACTTGCCTTCAGTGATAGTAATGCGGTGAATGGAGACATCTGCGTACATGACGTTGCGGGACGTGTCGAAATGGTGTAGAAACAATGCTTGATGAGTATGTCGGACGGTCATGTCATTGCTTAGCGTTGTCTAGCACTGCGCAAGCTCACTTTCAAGTCTTGGCCTATCTTAGTGTACATTATAATTATGTGCAATTATGCTAGCTGTTACAGCGTTCTTGCACTTGAGCATGCTTACCTCCGGTGGTGACCACTTGACTGGTAGCTTTCCACCATGGCTACTGTAATAGGACTCTTCAGCCAGGATCTTTGACATGCCAAAATCACAGATCTGATAAAGACATAATGGGAGAGGGGAGACCATACAGACAGACAGACCGTTAGAGAGGAGAATACACAGATGAGAGAGAGAGAGAGAGAGAGAGAGAGAGAGAGAGAGAGAGAGAGAGAGAGAGAGAGAGAGAGAGAGAGGAGAACAGACACGTGTAGAACTGCCATTCACCATCTTGTTGCTGAGCATTCCAGCACACTTCGTAATGCAAAATGAAACAAACCAGTCCATCCAGAATCCAAACAGATTGTTACCATGCACGTCAAGTCTTCACTCAGCAGCACATTTCTAGCTGCAAGATCCTGCACAACAAAACCAAAAACGGACAAGAATATAGGTTGTCACACGTCACGGTCTGAAGAATGATAGAACCAAAAAGACAGAGCGAGGTAGAGAGACCACCAGGCAAAAGACAAACCAAATAGGCGACAAGAGAGACACAAACACTAATGTCTGCCCGTGCTTTGAGGTACACACAATGATTGAGACTGGTGTGAAATAGGGGTGCAATCGAGGATGACTGAGAGAGATTGTGAAGCCTTTCTCACCAACGTACCCGATGCACAAAGTTGACTCTTTGCAGAAACACCAGACCAGCGGCTATCTGAGTGCAACACATCAGCAATCGTTCGGCTATCTCTTGAGCGGAGCCATTCTCACTGTGCCGATGAAGAAGACCAAAAACAAAAACACACTTCATCACCCAAACCTTTCTTCACCTTGGACAGAAGGATGTATTATGAGAGATGTAGAGAAGGAATATTGGTCTGATGATTGATTCAGTTCATGAAACTCAGAGTTACAAAACGGCAACTGCTCGTTCTTCTATCTGTGCATTCCTCTCCTTGCTTTCGCCAAATTGAGCCGTCTACGGATGGTGGATGAACTTGACATGGGGCAAAGAAGACATCAACATCTGTACCGTAAACAGGTGAATTTGAAGTGTCCGTCACATATCCTCACCACACCTATTGCGGCCTTATGACTACAAGTACATACATGTAAAACATTACTAGTAGCATAGATAGGACGCACTAAACACGAACAAGCAACTGACAGAATTCAGATTTTCCGAGAAAAAACACGATTCTACAAACATAGAAAACACTCCCTGGTGTCTAAACTTTCCGGCTACGTGCGCTCCACCATTCCACGGCTCGAGCTGTGTGTTAAGTGTACTCCATTGCACTGTTTGATAATTGGGTAAGCGCCATCCTCAGTGAATCCAGGGGTCGACCCAGTGGCCTAAGCTAGTCTTTTCTTAGTCCAGGGACTGATTAGAGTGTAAGGAGGGTGTATGAATATTGGCTGGCTAAAGTGGAGTCTTCAAATCTTCGCAATGAATTCATCTCAGCATAAAAAGAGGCTTCTGACACCCCACATACACCCGCACATACATACCCCCCCCCCCCCCCCCCCCCCCCCACACACACACACACATCATGACAAGTACATGTGCATACATACCCAGGTCTGGCTGGTGGTGCGTAACCATGCCAACAAGCACCCACGCTCAGCCCACTGTAGTACAAGTTGAGGTTGCTGTATGGTGAGAGAGAGAGAGAGAGAGAGAGAGAGAGAGAGAGAGAGAGAGAGAGAGAGAGACAGAGAAGAGAGAGAGAGACAGAGAGAGAGAGACAGAGAGAGAAGAGCAGAGAGACAGAGAGAGAGAGAGAGAGAGAGAGAGAGAGAGAGAGAGAGAGAGAGAGAGAGAGAGAGAGAGAGAGAGAGAGAGAGAGAGAGAGAGAGAGAGAGAGAGAGAGAGAGAGGAGAGGAGAGAGAGAGAAGAGAGAGAGAGAGAGAGAGAGAGAGAGAGAGAGAGAGAGAGAGAGAGAGAGACAGAGAGAGAGAGACAGAGAGAGAGAGACAGAGAGACAGAGACAGAGAGAGAGAGAGAGAGAGAGAGAGAGAGAGAGAGAGAGAGAGAGAGAGAGAGAGAGAGAGAGAGAGACAGAGAGAGAGACAGAGAGAGAGACAGAGACAGAGAGAGAGAGAGAGAGAGAGAGAGAGACAAGGCAGTAGTAAAGCAGGAAGGGTGAAACTAGCACTTCAATCCAAATACATATACTCTTTCACATGCACAAGTCAACACTGATACTACTACAAGTGAGAGCACCCCTCCCCCTCCCTCCCCGTGTACGCCTCTACAGTCCATTTCAAAACTATAGACTCGTACCTAGGCAAAAACCGTTACGCCAGCATCTATACCACATAAAATCTGTGATCACTTTGTGCATACATTTTTCCAAATTGGGCGTCTGTTATCCAATCGTTTAGAAACTACATGAGAGTAATCGTGGAGCGGTCCTGAGCAATATTCCGAAAACTATTCTCAAAAAGTTCCAGCCAAATTTGAAATAATCCTACGCGTCTATAGTTTTGAAATGGACTGTAGGACACCAGCACAGAAAGGTGGTGATAGTGGTGATAGTGGTGATAGTGGTGATGGTTGCGGTGACTGGGTGATCTGGGGGTACTTTAAGTTGATGTGTATTATAGGCACATTGGTATCCGTGACAACAAGAGAGGCATAATGCACAGGGAGACAGCATGAGATCATAGTGCCCGGAAACATGTGCATCTGTGCTTTGGGTCAGTCAGAAGGTGTCCGCAACCCGTAGTCTATGATACTGGCAAGAACGATTGCGGCCCTGGCCCTGCTGATGGAAAGCGTGACCCAGTCCAGCAGCGCCACAAACAAGGATGCATGAATCATCTCTGCCCCAACAGTGGTTTAGTTGGTGGACTCTAACGCATTGATTGTGCACCACCGGCGTATTCCTTGGTTCCATTTAATGTCTTCAAAAAGCTGAGACGTTTATGAGGACTGGCGTTTGTATAGCCGAACAATTGCAGCCTCTCCTTAGGAAAGCTTGATCTGACTGTAATTAGCCCAATGCGTCAACTGGCTGAGTCTGAAAAAACAAGTCTGCAGGGGTTTTGCCGAAATTACGGCATTTACCATTTGACATAATTATTTGCATCTCCTTCACGTGCATGCATAGGGGGGCATTATTCCAAAAAAATTTCAACACAAAAAAATGTTTCCGCTCGGGTTCGAACCGAGGACCTTGTGCGTGTGGAGCACACGTGATAACCACTACACTACGGAAACCCAGGCTACACAAGGCATTGGCCACAAGGCTAGACAACTATTAGGAATAGGTATAGTATTACATACCTGTGGATATGTATAGAAGACACATCAACCATGCCAGCCACGTTGGTGCTCATCCGGAGTCATAGCTCACAGGGGGACTACATGGGCAAATGTAACCCTTAATAACGACAGGAGTTTTGTTCCCGGTCTGCCCATTCCAGTCGCTGTTGGGGCAGGGCTGATGAGTGTATGCTTGTATGTGGCATTGGAATGGGCAGACCGGGAACGAAACTCACATCACTAGTTAAGGGTTACATTCGCCCATGCCTTCTCCCTGTAAGCCATGACTCCTGATGAGCACCAACGGGACTGGCGTGGGTGATTTTTAGCCGTGGTTGTCTATAAAAACCCTGCAATCGCCACGCAAAGTGGTCATTGGCTACCCCAGCCCTGTATTGCTTGGAATACAACTAAAACTTAACTAAACTTGATGTGTCTTCTACACATATCCACAGGTAATATCCACAGGTATGTAACACTATACCTATTCCTAGTAGTTGTCTAGCCTTCTGGCCAATGCCTTATGTAGCCTGGGTTTCCGTAGTGTAGTGGTTATCATGTGTGCTTCACACGCACAAGGTCCTCGGTTCGAACCCGAGCGGAAACATTTTTTTTGCGCTGAAATATTTTTAAACTCGGATACTGAGCCAATAATAAATGATGAGAAGAAAACACATGAGAACGAGTTCTGCAGCAACTATCCAAATATTTATTATTATTATTTTTGAATAACTTAATGTCCTGTGCACGTGAAGGAGATGCAAATTATTATGTCAAAATGGTAAATGCCGTAATTTTGGCAAAACCCCTGCAGACTTGTTTTTCAGACTCAGCCAGTTGACACATTGGGCTTATTACAGTCGGATCAAGCTTTTCTAAGAAGAGGCTGCAATCGTTCGGCTATACACACACCAGTCCTCATAAACGTCTCTGTTTTTTGAAGACACTAAATGGAAACAAGGAAAATGGTGGGACACAATTTATACGTTAGAGTTCACCAACTAAACCAGATTTTGAACAGTCAGACGTGCAAAAGGTATCGGTATCGAGCAGTGGTCAAGCTGATTTCCTTGCCGTGGAATGTCTCAGTACTCCTTGTCAGTTTGGTGTTACCTTGTGGACGTCTGACTATTCAAAATCTGGTTTAGTTGGTGGACTCTAACGCATAACTTGTGCCCCACCATTTCCCTTGTTTTCATAAAATTATTTTCCTTGGCTCACCAGCTGAGTAGTATTTAAAGACACCAGGTATTTCTGCCACAATGACATGGTAACAGGTTGTGTGGTTTGAGCAATGGTATGACATGTTTGCCAAGATTTGCCTCCTCACTTTCATTTCACATTGTCATGTTCTTGGTATTGGTACAGTCAGACCTGGCTTAACTGCACACATCCGTTTTCCACAAAAATATCCGGATAGGTGAGGGAACCGGATAATCTAACACACACACTGTATGTATGCATGGCATATGCTGTAAATCGGTAACCACAGATTTTCTTCCAGATGGCGAGGGATCGGGATAAAAGAGAACCGGATAAGCGAGGTCTTACTGTACTTATGACCCCAACAAACCAAGTCTCTTCTCCTCAAGTGGTCATACCTGGTTGTTTGTAGATGACTGGGTAACGCCATGCAGCTGGACAATGTTACGGTGATGAAATCGTCCCAGGAGGTTGGCCTCTTCCAGCAGCTTGCCCTTGGACAGTGCATCACACGTGCTATGCAGACTCTTAACGGCTACATCCACTGATTTACCATCAGGCTATAACACCAGCGTGCGGCGGACACAAGATGGAGAAGATATCAAGGGAATTAATAACACTGTGCAGATGTGAACATTGCTACAGACTCGATGCATTCACTGACTAGTACATTGCACAGTACATGCTACTGCGAACTGAGAGATTTCAGGCAAGCACATCATTTTGGTGTTTTCAAGTGTGAAAACTGAAAACACAGGTTGGAGACTAGAAACCTGCGCGGTTTTCACACGAAAACAAGAAGCTTGCAGGGTTTTGTCTCGTCAGTGGACTGTAGAGTGTCACCAATCCATACACAGATTAGTGTGCATATGTGTGTTGGTTGCAAACCCGGCAAGTTTAATCTGCCCCGAAAGTTTCCCACCTTGCAGGTTTACAACAAGGGCACGTGAAGAACCTCTTTCAAGAAAACATTGTCTGATACTAGTACTCTACAACACTGCATAGGAATACATGCAAAATAATTGTGCCAAACAAATCGTCACTTCGAGCCCAAGTTTGAATCAACATTTTTCTACGTTTCCACAAATCCAAAAAAAACCGTGAAGATGTATAGGTATCAGCAAGAGTACATGAAAACCAGAGTGTGTAGCTTGGGGCCTTTTCTACTATGGGTGTCTGGCACGGCGGAATTCCGTGATTACATCATTATTTGGTGCAGATCTGAGGCGGGAAATGGCGTAGTGCGTCCCACTCACTAAAATGATGTAATGACGGAATTCCGCCGTGACAGCAACCCATCCGAGCTGCACACTCTGGTTTTCATGTACTCTTGGTATCAGGTGTGCTAAACCTTCAACGGATTAAGGTATTCTGATGTGAGAAGTAGGGACTATGACTTACTGTGATCCATTTTCCCAGCCAAACCTCACCAAACGATCTACATAGCAAGGAGATCACACAATACAGTTGAACACACTTGAAATGAATGGGTCAAAATTTGAGTTTTTTTAGAATTTTTTTCTGCAATCCCCTATGGAATCCTCTTCCAATTATGTTTCTGAAGTGTTTTTGTCCAAAAAGCAAGCCATAGCAAAAATAGGATTTCGGCCAGGTTTTGCCCCAAAAGCACTGAATTGGGAAAAACCATAAAAATCCAGGCCATTTGACCCCGACTGCTTCAGTGCATTGTGCGGTTCGAACCGCAGTTCAGGTACCCTTTTTGGACCCTTTTTCAAGTTTCAAATTTTGCAGCACTGCACTGTGTACGATGAAATCACGAAAAATGGCCAACTACGGGAGCTCGCCAGAGCCAGGGCCCATCTTTTTATGAATGGACTGTAGTGGGTCAAGAAGAGCAGATCCATGCAGCCACTGGGTCTTCTTGCTTGCGCCCCAATACCATAATGTTATGCACAATTCCTGGAGGGCTAGTTTGCGGTACCTTGATACAGAGAAGATGCGATTAGGAAGATTGATTGAGTGGATCTGAGGTAATGGCTCTCGTGGCCGCTTTGACCACACCTATCCCATACTGAACAACCACCAAAATCTCAATCCCTTGACAAGACATGCAGAATCCCTGGATTTTTCTCAAAATCCTTGGATGGCACAAAAACAAGTGAAAAAGGGCTTTTCCCACCAAAAAAAAGTTCAACTCTGCAGATCTTCGTACAGCACAGTTCGACCCTGCATTGCAGTTCGATCAGTCGGCGCCCGCCTATACTATAGCGCCTGTCAGTGCAGATCTTGTGGTCCGGTCTTGAAAGTGCCATGCATAGTTCGAAGTGCGAGTGCGCACCGTACATATTTTGGAAAAAACCGGGAAATTCGAGGCGAATCCATGGAGTTTTCAGGAAAATCCTGTATCAGACGAAAGTGTGACTTTTCTGGGAGTTTGCTTGAAATCCCCGGAACCCCGGGAGTATGCTTGAAATCCCCGGAACCCCGGGAGTATGCTTGAAATCCCCGGGACCCCGGGAGTAGTGTTGATTTCCCGGGATTTTCCCGGGAAAACCGGGAGGGTTGGCCAGTATGCTATCCCCCCCCCCCTTCCAACTCCCTTCTCCTAGGACCTGATTCTCATCTGTTATTCCCATGACAACCATCTTACCCTTTTCCAACCATGTTGACCTTGTGAATCTCAGAGCTTGGTATCTCTCTATATTGCTTGCTGGTTAGCCGTTCGTATGTCTGGTGTGGTGCCACGGTGGACTTTGCTGACGGTTTGAGCAGCTCAACCTTGATACCAGAGAAAGAGGACAATAAAACAACGAATATGGGGTCGTCCATAAATATCGACCGTTTTTCACAAAACGAAATAATTTCGTTATGGAGTGGGAGGGGGTTGACCAATTTCGTTTCAGAAAACATTGATTCATGTACATGGACATTGTATATGCATATTTGTCAACATGTTTTACTTTCTGAGGGGGAGGAAGGGAGGGGTTGGGTCTAAACTAAAATAATTCGCTTGGTGAAAAAAGGAGAAGGACAAAATGTTACGAGTTATGACTAACTGTCCACCAACGTAACCAGATCTTATACAGTCAGCGAGTGCGACAAAATGACACAAAACTGACAAGGAGTACTGAGACATTCGGCGACCTGACACCTAGCTCCTTTTCAGCATAATTTAATTGGCTCACCATCCGAGTTCAACTTTGGTGAAAAAGTTCGATATTTACGGACGGCCCCTAAAGCAGTAAGAACTCAGAGGGTGAGCCAAGGAAAAAATTGTAACATTGAAAAATGTGGGCACAAGTAATGCTATCGAGTCCACCAACAAAACCAGATTTTGAACAGTCAGACGTGTACAATCTAGCACAAAACTGACAGGGAGTACTGAGACATTCCACATTCCACATTCCAAATTGACATTCCACATTCTGATTAAATTTATACTTGGTGGACTCGATCGCATAACTTGTGCTCATATTTTTCCATGTTATCAATACAACAGTAACCATGACTTGCATGTCATCTGATTTGCGACATCCACAGTGAGTGATAAAGCGCTGAAACGTACGCACTCTTTGAACGCTTCCAATTGCATCAAGCTTGCTTCAAGACAGCCTCCCGGCCATTACCACAACTACTGTCGTGTTCAAAAGGTTTGCTATCGTCAACACACACAGTACGTAGTCAAGTAGCGTGCTTCACTGCTGGAAGAGACAAACACACACACACCGTACTGTCACTATACGCTTACCTCTTCGTAACCATGGTTTCTGCCCGTCGGAATGAGACCAGCCGTGCTGTTCTGCGCACCAATGGCTTCATGACACTCGTTGCCACTATCGTACAGAGCAGCACCGGCAGTAGAGCTAACACCAATTGAGTCGCTGGCTACGGGTGCGGATGTACTCAGCTGACCTCGCATCACACCAGCACTGTCCCTACTAGACTGATGTATGACATCATCATAGGCATGCGGTGATGTCATTGATGACTCATAGCTATCCTCAAGCGATGCGTCAGCTCCAGTTGGCTCTGTCGTCACACCGGCTCGTAGAAGTTCACTATTGTCATAGTAATCGTCGGCATAGATACGATCCACCTATTGTGGGAAGAACCATGCACCAACAGATAGAAAAGGTCACAACATGATAAATAACATCACCATTATGCAACTAATGTTGTTCATTCATTGTACATGATACACACACTTAAAAGTAGGAATCAAAAACGTTTCTGCTGTAACTCTGAGTTTCACAGTTTTAACTGATCATCTGCCAAAAACCGTGAAACTCAGAGTTAAAAAAAGCAGAAACGCTTTTAACCCTTTAGGGCCCACAATTATTTCAAGAAATGCACTGCATACGCGAGCCCGGGTACTTATCTGGTCGTAACTTTGGTGTCCTTTGGCCGATTTTGGTGATCTTGGGCTTTCTGGAAAGCTCTTGGCCAGAGGAACACAGCGATAGCCAGCAATACATCACTCGATTCACAGAACCAGCGCCGCAGCGCGATACGGCGCTCCAAAGCCAGCATTGCGAGCGCCCAACTCAAATTCTCTGCCATTTCAACAAATTGCATGGCAGATCGCTCAAATTTTTTTACTGGAGAGCTGAGAAACATGCCTTTGCGATGACGTGAACTATCTGTAGCTGCGTGGGCCGCGAGTCAGGGAAAACCCCTAAAAACAAGTTCAAAATGCACGTGCTCGAGTTGACTCTGCTGAGCGAATTTAGTTCTAGTCTCGTATCTCCGCTCTCCGAACTCGGATCACTTTCGGGTTTTTTCGAGCCGATAGCTCAGACAATTCTAATGTCGATAGCCCTTTCGATTGTCCGATTTGGTCAAGGGGCGGCCGAGTTACGCCAGGTTGCGGTTTGAAAAGACATTAGTATGCACTGTACACTGGTACGGATATATCCGTACTATGGGCCTCAAAGGGTTAATTCCTTCTTTGCAGTGTTTGTACTAGGCTCTGCACCTAGGTATATTGAGCACTGTCACGAGCAATAGTATGATACTTGATATCAATGTAGAAAAGAAAAGGACATATGGATATATACAGTCAGAAAGTGCAACAACTAGGCACAAAACTGACAGAGTACTGAGACATTCGACGTCCTGACACCTAGCTTCAACACATCTCCATATCTGGTTACAGTGATGGAGAGTTACTCTTTTAACTCGTATCCATGTGTCCTTTTCCTTTCTACATTTACTATTGGCTCAGCATCCGAGTTTCAACTTGATATCAATGATATGTATTTATCAACTATGGTGGGAACAGTATTGCAGCTGTGCTCTATTAACTACACGTACCCTTCAACGTTTTCCTGCATGCCAGTAGATGTGGAGCCGGAGAACCGACGTTACCACGGTTACTAGCCAAGTCTACTCTCCAGTAGATATAGTACAGGCATTGTGTGTGTACCTCACATACCGTAGTGTCTTGTGTTAAAGTTTCTCTCGTTTGAATACAAGCCTGGTGTTCAAGATACACCGTCGGAACGTAAGCCTGGTTTTACTGTTCACACACATAGAAATACCTGGTTTGAATAGAAGCCTGATGTGAATAGAAGCCTAGCCCTGACGTCGTCTTCTACAGGAATATGCCTGGCTAAAATACGCGACATTACAATAGGTAATAATATTGCAACTGCTATCCCTGTGCTACCCCTGTGCTACCCCTGTGCTACCCCTGTGCTACCCCTGTGCTACCCCTGTGCTACCCCTGTGCTACCCCTGTGCTACCCCTGTGCTATCCCTGTGCTATCCCTGTGCTATCCCTGTGCCTTTTTGGGGCCCTGTAGTATTCACTCTCTTTGAATTGCCGACTCGTTTTGGTGTGGTCTGCGAGTGGGGAAAAAAAGCTCGTCAAAACCCCTGACAACACACCCATTATCGTGATCACCTCCAACCTTACTTACCATGGGTAGGTGTGAGGCATCAGATGCCGTTGCCTCGAGTTGTTTGTTGTGTCGACGTGGCGGAACCTTTGGTTTGGGACCTGGTGCGCTCAGGGCTGCTGACAGAGCAGGTTTTAGTGGAGCAGCACAAATCCCAAGGTTCTCATACGCTGCAGCATGCCTGCGAATTACAGCAACGAGCTGCACAGCAGGAATAAGATTGAATGGAAGAGAGAGAAACACAGAGAGAGAGAGAGAGAGAGAGAGAGAGAGAGAGAGAGAGAGAGAGAGAGTGAGAGAGAGAGAGAGAGAGAGAGAGAGAGAGAGAGAGAGAAGGAGAGAGAGAGAGAGAGAGAGAGAGAGAGAAGGAGAGAGAGAGAGAGAGAGAGAGAGAGACAGAGAGTACAGTATGTATGTGTGTATGTGAGAGAGAAGCACAGAGAGAAAGAGAGTCAGATCGTGCGTGTGCCGGCCCCAGCCCTGCTTTTCTACCACAAAGAGTTGTAAAATGAATGAGAAGACGGAACTGAAGCACATTATGTGTCTTGCAAAGGCGTGTCATGATGTGAAAACTGGATAAACGACACAGCGATGACTGGACAGCGATGACAGGAGAGTGATAACAGGAGGGCACAACGTCAACCAAACCAAATCAACCAGCTTACCTCTTCAGGAGAAGCGTACGCTGACTCGTCCACCAAACTCATCGACTCCGAGCTCAGACTGCCCTGTATGGTCTGCAGTGCTGGTGCCTGTGCCGATGGTTGCCGTGACGCCAGCAAATGAGCATCCTCGCTGGTCGTGGAGTACTGGGAATTGCGACTCGGCTCGCGTGATGCCGGAGTTTTCATGTTGTTGATGATGACATTCTCATAATCATTCTGGTGAGGGGAAAATACAAACATGTCATTAGGGAATTCCCCTATTTTCAGAGTATGAGCCGCAACCCCCATTTTCTTGCCACAAATCTATCCTATTTATCACCGTTAATGTGATCATCGGAGTTTAAGCTGCCCCCCCCCTTTTCTTTGGGGTGAATTGTGAGAGTCCAAAATGCGGCTTATACTCCGGAAAATGCGGTATGCAGTTGAGCACACAGAACCTCACCACATCTGGTCATACTACCTATTTCAATTTTGTTGTCGCTTGTGAAATCTGGACTGATCTACACAACCTCACTTACTAGTACTGCAAAGTAAAATGATTTCGATCACCAATTTTTGGTGTGTTCTCCCAACTTCCCAACTTCCCAGCTACATTGTATTCTGCTCTGCAGATGAAGCTGTAAGAAGAAGCCTAGCTTTCTACATAGAATTATATCATCACCAAAATTTAATACCGTATTCTCCGGAGCATAAGCCACCCCCCCCCCCCCGCCCCCTCCCCAATTTTGCCATGGAATACAGACATCTCCCCTCTTTATCAACGGGAGTTTGATCATCAGAGTATAAGCCGTGCCCTCTTTTTTCTGCGTGAATTTTGAGTGTGCAAAGTGCATGCGGCTTATGCGCCGGAAAATACTGTACAAGGTGAAATGTGTACAGATTGCTTCTGCAATTGTAATCCCAAAGTGGACAACGAAACAGCCTTGTTTTTGCTTCTATTCGTGTACTTCTTGCGTAATCACAAACTGTATATGTTTCCCCTTACCAGTGGGGTGTACTCTCGGTGTGGTATAGACACGGCTATGACATCCTCATAGGCTTCGTTCTGAACAGGATCGATGGACGGACGCAACATCAAACTCTGTTGACGACAAATCGGAAGAGCGTGCACGAGAGAGAGAGAGAGAGAGAGAGAGAGAGAGAGAGAGAGAGAGAGAGAGAGAGAGAGAGAGAGAGAGAGAGAGAGAGAGAGAGAGAGAGAGAGAGAGAGAGAGAGAGAGAGAGAGAGAGAGAGAGAGAGAGAGACAGACAGACAGACAGAGAACAATATAGAAAGAAAGAAAGATTGAGATAGAGATTGGGATAGAGTTAGATATAGGAATATAGAAATATCAATTGCCAATATCAACACAGCAACTTGCATAGGGCTAGCAAGTGTTGCGCCGCAGGCAGGCCAAGACATGAAAATATCGACTTTTGAATCCACTTGAATCCAGGCATGTTTAGATGTTTCACTACAAATTAGGGTAACACATTTTCTGCCGGCACTGACAGTACTGAACCCTACACCCACTGCTGGTATAGACACAAGATACACCAGCATGCATGCTACACAACGGGCTTTACCTTATAATACCGTACTTTGCTTTGAACACAGTGAATTCAATTGCATCAGGAAGTTGTTATTTGTTGACTTCTGACCGTACCATTTTCAAACTCTGTTACTTCAAGTGTTAGCTTGCATTTTGAAAGGAATGCAGATCACCTGCACTACACTGGGATGTAAATGTAAGAAAGAGATGCTCTTCTCTCTTTTCTTTCGCATTTTAAATGTAGTTTTTAGTTAGCCATGGTTGGTCACCACCCTTCATCTCATTCGTACTATTGGCAGATTTACAACGAGCCAGGAGATGCTGTATGAATATATAATAATGATAATAATAACAAGGAGAATGGTGGGGCACAAAATATGCGTTAGAGTCCACCAACTAAACCAGATTTTGAACAGTGAGACGTGCACGAATCTGAAGCGTATAACTTGTGCCCCACCGTTTTCCTTGATTCCATTTAATAATTTCCTTTGCTCACCATCTGAGTAAATTATAATAACAGACTGCACAGCTAGCAGGGCATACACTATAACAGACTGCACAGCTAGCAGGGTATACACTCACCGGGTCTTGGTCAGCAGCTGATCGTCCGTTATATGCACCGTCGTACGTATCCCGACTGCCAATCGTGTCCTTGTTGCCATGGCGACCCCCATTCACAGGGACCGGCTGCGGCGGTATGTAGGGTAGCGTTTCCACGGCAGCCAAGCGTCGTCCGTTCTCGGCAATCGCAGCCGGCGGTAACGGCAGCGCATGCTGCTGCGCGGGCTTTTGCTTTCTGCCCACGGGACGTGCATCTGCAGTGTCACTACGAGCATTGTTACGTCTGCGTAGTAATATTACTACTAGGACTACGATTATGACGAGGAGAACAGCCAGGATTCCCACTATGATACCGATGGTTGCAGCGGAGGTTCCCGAGTCTGAAGCGTGGCCCAGTGTAGATGTGTTAGTGCTCACCGGTGACATCATCGTAGTTGATAATGACATCATGGCTGCTGCTGATGACATCTTCACTGTGTTCCTGGTGGCCACACTGTCACTGTCACCACGCTGCGGTGCTGGACGATCGGACTGCAGAGATTCTCTTAGCAACATACCCACACACCAGCAACGGCGACCCACTCACTGGCAACGGAGATTCACTAACCAGCAATGGAGATCCACTGAAAATGTTCACCGTCACGCTTACTTGAAAGTTAGTAAATTGACACAGCTTGGAACAACTATGCTAAAAGTGAACAAACACTGCTAGTGTATGTTATCTACAGCGAGGAATCAACACTGTCCATCCACGGGAAATGGCATGATAGATGGGACAAGTCTGGTGAAGTTGATATCCTGGCACTATCCAAGTAAGAACACTATGACCGGCGGTGAAAGTAGCTTAAGGTGATGCTTCTGTACAACGTGATGACTGTAGGTGCTCAGCAAAGTGATAATTCCTCTGCTCTCATCTATGCACCTGCAAAGGGTGAAGGACAAGCCACAAACACAGTATACAGATCATTCAGCACCACACATTTTCATCTACATGCAGTGTATAAGTGCAATGCTCTTAGCAAGAACAGGCCACCAGAAGTGTGTCCGTTTCCAACAAACTCCTCTCTCCCTTTCCCTCTCCCTCTCCGTCTGTCTGTTTGTCTGTGTGTCTGTGTGTCTGTCTGTCTGTCTGTCTCTCTCTCCTCTAGATTTCCTCCAGTCTCCCAGACTCCACAGTAACGATTAGACAGGCCCAGCAGCCTCTAACAGAGTACTGCACTTTGCACAGTACATGTGCAGTACATGTGCAGAGCAGTGTTTGACTTGTTGGACACCACATTTAGACAATGAGAACTGCATAGTCATTTTTCGCACACAATCATACTGTGGATAAATATAGTATGATAATTATGTGTTGATGACTGATGATGATGTGTTGATGACTTCACATTGTAAGCTGGTAATTGTGCATGTAGACCTCCCATCTCACATTGCCCAATAGACCATGTTCAATGTGCATATTATGTAAGCACATTTGCTTTGCCGGTTTGAAGAGACTGTATGTTCAATGTGCACGCTAGTGGACGCTTTCAGTGGCAGCGGTTTCTCAAGAGGGAGAACATCAAAAAAGCTAAAATAATGTCAAAGTCATTCACTGTTGCCTAAACCCAGTGTGCAGGCAATAGTGAATAATTTCGACAGAATGAGTTTAGAGCAATGGCCTTGTTTTACTCTGCCCTGGAGGGTTCTGTATATACACCTCACCAAGTACACACCCCAGAGGTGACAGAATGGGGCACGAGCAGGTCAACAATTGAACATGTATTTACTCCCTTCAGCCAGCAAGAGTGGAGCACATGTACTGAAGTACTACTGTACAAAGAAGTAGCAGCTATAGCCTATAGCCAATAGCATACTTGAAATACACAAGCAAGCTTTGCACTGTGCAGGGGATCTATCTAAGACTTTATGCTGCCATTGGGACAGGAGCATGTCTTCTACCTCCAGAAACTAGAAGCGTTGCAAAAATGTATCATGCAGTGTGTGTGTGTGTGTGTGTGCGTGTGTGTGGTGTGTGTGTGTGTGTGTGTGTGTGTGTGTGTGTATTTGTGTGTGTGTGCGAGAGAGAGAGAGAGAGAGAGAGAGAGTTCAGTTTTAGTTCAGTTCTAAGGTTCAGTTGATGACAGTGCAAATCACCAGTAGATCAGCTCACTGCTGTTACCACTTACAGCCCATACAGACCTGCTGTTGCAGATGCAGCCAGAACTCCAAATATGGAAATACCTTGCAATGAAGTAGCCATGCTTTGTTCATTCAATGGAAGTTTACCCCATGGGGAGAACATGAGCAAATCTAATCATATAGTGCAAAGTAATTTCATCTTGTCAGGCAATTACATGTACATGTATATCTGTGCCTGAATTTCATGGCAGATGTTTGATTTATTGAACCTGGTGCCTATTTCTATCACAAATGATTACCATGCTTTGGTCATGTGATCAGGCACATCATATCTCTGCATACATTACTTTTATTGAAATTGATGTTGAACTAGATCAGTGATGCCACTCAGGATCCTGTTCAATAATGGTACCATCTTTCCGCAAATGTAAGGGGGAGGAAGGGGGGAAGGTGAGGGGGAGGGTTAAATTAATGAAGTGTGTGTGGGGGAGGGGGGGGGGGGGGGTACCGCCGAAGTCGCTACTTCTAAGTTCTGATCGCCTTGTTTATCCAAACCCGTACCAGCGTATCATTCAAACCCTACTCACTTTGTTTAGAGTTAATCCAAACCAATGACCTTGATGCCTGCTAGGATACATGGGGCACATTGGTAGAACCTGGGCGGATTCCGGGAATCGCTGTTACGGATAGGGCCCACTCTAGACTCTCTGACCACCTCTACCATCGAGCTAAACCCTGATGATGGAGTAATTCAGTCCATGCCAAGCCTCACTTTACGATGAGTGTCTCAGCTATCCAACCCCTAACTATCCAGCCAGCGACCTCAAGATTAATAAACACCGTATTTCGCGGATAAGTTCACAACGAGACACGGAGAAATGAAGCTTGGTCAATATGGTAGTGAAGTTAGTATTCCCAAAGGCAGGATTAACAACCAGGGTTGAATGTAGCCTGTGCTAGCGCTGAAAAGCAGTGTTGTAACGACTGGGGTACATCAAGAAAATTTCACGGTTCGCGTGAGACTCGCCCAAAGGCTCAGTTTTCCGCATCCGTAGGAATGCCACCACCCTCTTGGATCAAGGCGCAGATGCAGCTCCTAAACGGTGGGGGGTGAGTAGATCCTATCCACCTGGGGTACATCAAAACATGGTTTTAAAAGCGACAATTCCGCGGCGCAAGCAAATTCAGCAGCTGCATAGCCAGTTGGTTTCTTGAGACACGCTTTTGGAATATCCACGATCTCAGAAGATTGAAATTATTATGGTAGCCGTGTCCCCTGGAAATTGACTTTGTACTATACTGTCCACCAATTTCATGTCCAAGGTCTACTGTAAAACGACAAACTTTCGCGGCGGCTAAATTTAGCGTTTTGGCAAACTGGACCAGTTAGCGGCGATTAATTTTAGCGATTTTTACCTTCCACCGAAAATCAAAGAATTTTATTTTACGAAGCCTCGGAGTGCTGGGCGCAGAGTGCATGAAGAATGAGAGAAGAAATCAAAGAATGAAAGAAGGAATCAAGGAGGAATCAAGGCATCAAAGAGAACCATAAGGTAAGTACTAGTACTGAGAGAAAGGATGGCACGTTCGAAGAGGGATCATCGGAAGACTTTCTCTTCGAACTGCTGAGCCACTGCGATACTCATCGCGATAAAATTCAGAAGACTTCTTCGAGCAGTACAACGCTAAAATCTACGCAACAGCAAGCTGGCAAAACGCTCCAAGAAGTTCAACAACACTTTCCACAACACTGAGACATTCTCCAGTCGATCGTTTTATTCTCTTCTGGGTTCAAGTCGCCGTACTCCAACGACAACTAATGTTTGTTACTTGCAAGACTGGTGTTGGTACGTAACCCGTCGTTGCAACAGCTGCGCTCTTTGGTTGGACATAGCCGGCCGTGCAAGCATCGATCAGCGCGGTGAGTGTACAGTCAGTGCAGTGAGTGATACATGCGCGCGCACGTACTGACTACTGTACAGATCTGTTGCAAAACGATCGATCATCGACGCATCGATCGCGTAGTACAAATTTCATATTCGCGTGTCAAACTTTCGCGATTCGACCCTGCTCGCGAAAGTCGCGAAAGTAAATCGCTCGCGAAAGTTTGTCGTTTCACAGTATTATTAAACTTGGATATTGCAGGTTGATATTTGACTCAAAAGCAAGCGTCGCACTCGAGAAAACGCTGTCCGAAACAAACTTTTTTGCAGTTCCTAACTTCCTATACACCCTGGTATCACAGGCATGGCACATGCGAAACTTCTCTAAGCTGGTTGTGTTTCTCAATACAGTTGTATTGCCGGTGGTAACGTGGACGTGCGACCTTTACTTTATTATATTTTATACACCATTATAATAATATACTTCTGAGGTAACCCCAGTGGGGTTCGTTGCCAACCCCCCCCCCCCCCCCCCCCCCCGTCTTGTACCCAGGCCCCGTAGCACATTTAGACTATGAGATTACTATGCAGGAAGAGCAGTACAGGTAGTCAGACACTCATAACTGTCTTATCCAGACCTCAAAGTGACAGGTACCTCCGCCTAGCAGCAAGCACACTGTGCACGAGTTTGAGTGGAAATATCACTACTCCGCTGCCAATTTTTGTACAGACAGCGACGACATATGCCAGATATTTGTGCCCTCGCCAGAGAAAGGTTCAGGATTGACTAAAGAGTAAGACCTGGTTTAAGCGACCACCCCACGGTGCAAGAAAATGTGGTCGTTAAAGCCAGGTGGTCTTTATAACCAGGTCCCGCAGTGTCTGTGTAGAACTGTCTGTGCATGGAAAGACGGTCGTTAAGAGCAGGTGGTCGCTAAACCCAGAGGTCGCTTACACCAGGTTTTACTGAATTTCAAAGTTAATGGCAGTGCCCGTCCCGGATGGCCCAGGTAAGAGAGATATGAGTGCATAATGATGTATATCCATATCAGACTATCTCATGCTACAACAGGTCATCCGGGAAGAGAAGTATATTCAAAATGATAATTTTTAGTTTGGGGACGATATTCAAGTCATGCAATTTCGCAACGCGAGCATTGCTTGCGCTGCAAAATTGCAGGACTTGATGGAAATCAATGCAAGAGTCAGCACAACGCACTGGCCGGTGAAATTCATCTTCAACGCAGCGCACTGTAGAGGCGACGGTTTCAAATAGGACATAGGTTGCAAACCGGAACGGTCTCAATATTCACTTTCTCTCTTGGTATTTTGATTAGAAAACATATGTTACAGTGAGACTACAATGTGTTATACTCCGAGCCAAAATTTCATGGCTCTGCGATGACCAGAAGCGCCATACCAAGCAGGTGAGTTTTTGACGTGTTGCTTCGCACTGCGACTTGAGTTTTACGACTTTCGAAAAATCAACTTCTTGTCGCAGGTAAACAGCGGCTCGCCTCTCGCCAATAAAGCACCGCATACCAATCAAAACTAATGGAAGCACACACAAGGCTTGTTGTTACTCTGTACTGGCCGTCGTGGAGCGATAGCAATTACCTAATTTCAGACCCAGAGTGAATTTGACATGCACTCTAAAACGTGTCCGGTTTGGAGCCACCTCTGATTTGAACTTTTTTCAAGCGAAAAATTGGGTAACTTGGAGGCAATGGGTCAACACAAAGGAGTGGCTCAGTTCGATTGACTCTGGCCTCAGAGCAAACTTCAACATGCCAGTTTCCTTCCACAAATATATTTCGAGTGAAAAATCAACGCTGATGATCGGTTTGGGTCTATACAAATTTGGCTGTCAAGGCATTCCGGCATCGAACCGTCTACTCTACATGTAGAGTGAAGGCAAGCCCTGTACAACCCTGGCCCCACACCAGATACAGTGAGGGCAAGCCCTGGACAACCCTGGCACCACACCAGATACAGTGAAGGCAAGCCCTGTACAAGCCCTGGCACCACATCAGATACAGTGAAGGCAAGCCCTGGACAACCCTGGCACCACACCAGATACAGTGAGGGCAAGCCCTGTACAACCCTGGCACCATCAGATACAGTGAAGGCAAGCCCTGTACAACCCTGGCACCATCAGATACTACTGTACTACTCTGCAACTGCATCCTCATGTACTACACTGGTCTGTAAACTCAACTAAGACACTGACGTGTTCCTGACATTTCAATAGGCCGTTATGGATGCATGTATGTGTGTGTGTGTGTGTGTGTGTGTGTGTGTACAAGCTGCTTTGGCTTCTGCTGTAGCATCGCTATCATCGCCTCCGGCGATGGGCGTCCAATGGTCCAATGGTGTGTGTGTGTGTGTGTGTGTGTGTGTGTGTGTGTGTGTGTGTGTGTGTGTGTGTGTGTGTGTGTGTGTGGTGTGTGTGTGGGGGGGGGGGGGGGGGGCGTGCGTGCGTGCGTGCGTGCGTGCGTACGTGCGTGTGTGTGCGTGTGTAGCTCAACCTGTCATGTTCAGATAGCGCGTGTCATGAATTATTATTGAAAATGATTTTCCCTCTTCATTGTTGATGAGAACATTTTAGGCAATGCACTTTCAGTGCGTGCAGGCCTTATAGCGGCCTCGTGGTCCGGAACATAACGAGAGTGGGTATGCTCTCTTTGACAACAATTGGGACTGTCAAAATCACACGAACAATCACAGCATAACGGAGTAAATTCCCATAGTTTTCCGTACCTAAAAAAATAATACACACTTACTTTACCTCCTAGGTATTCGTTTCCAGTTCCCAGCAGCTAGCGTGTGCCAGAATGTCCACTCCGTCCACTCCTTTCCTTTTCCTCAGGGCAGGATGCGAAGACCACGTACACGGCACCGTTCACTACTATTGCCACTAGAACAATGACTATGTTACTCGAAGCGCTGGGCGATCTCAACTGGAATAATTCTACAGGCCGTAACTGTGGGGTTACGGCTGGGCGAAAGAACGAAATCTCAGGACTCCTCAGAACACCGCTACCATTATGTTCCTAGCGGGCGCTCAAGAACTGCCGACAGGGCTGCCACTAGCGCTAGTCACCTCAAGATCAAGTACGCTGACAAGCGTTTGGCAATGACAACAGGGCATGCAGCATTTGCAGCTACGACATTTTGACGGCTGCGCTCTAGCTCTAGTCCTGGATCTGTCACAGCGGGTGATTCGGAAACCACACAACTCCGCGGGAATACTAACAAGAAAGCCTGCAGTGCACTGGCAGCAATTGTTCACCTCAGCTCCACTTCGCCACCTCGTGGCTTGGAACCTACCGCAGACTATGGAGCGCTGGGAATGATTGGAACCGTGTTCCGAAGCACCACGACCTCCGACATCCACCGGAAAATCACGTTGTTACTACCTGCACCACTACAACTACTGTTACTTACAAGCAGTCCACTGCACGCACGCATGCATGCATCAACCATGTCAACATACACGTGAAAGCGGCCGGCGGGGGAACACCGAAGCCGGGGCGAAGGATCTGCACTATAATAGTATAAAGCAGACCGGAGACAGGTCCGTCAGCTCGCAGACAGTCGTGGGACTGGTGGTACAGTGTGGTATCGCTGCCGGTTAGCTGCTCAGTCGACTACATACATGTACATGTACTTCGTGGTTGCAGGTTGCTACAAGGTACACAGTCGTAACGCTCGCGTGAAACACAAACGCAGTATATTCGGCTCTTTGCAAACGTTGACCAGTGCGCTGACGACCACGTAGCTAGGCTGTTCTGTGTTCACAGCGTGCAGTCCATTACGGCATTGGCATTGGACGTTCGAGCACTGCATGCACTACAAGCACAACCCGCATTACGTCTTTACAAGTGGATATCCTTGAGAACATCTGAATGAAGCTGTGAACGTGTGGTGAGCGATCACACTGAACTCACTGTCCGGACACCCTACACTAGGCTGCAGTCACTTCTATTCTCTACACTACCGACACAGGCAGTCAGTACAGTCACTGTACTGTCACTGTACGATCATTCTAGTCGACTACAGTCCAAACAGTCACTGTACGGACATTCTACGGTCACTCTGCTGTTGAAGAGTAGGACAAATGCCTGCCCTGACTGAGTGATAACAATCTGGACTGATCATTACCGGAATGAGGAACCCAGTACTGTATCCAGACCCAAGGCTGAGTGCTGAGCTGAGGCCACTAAGGACACGCACTCATTAGGGAATCAACAGACAAGAGAGTCATTCAAGCCTTCTACTTCCGTGGACCATGGACTATAGTCTATAGTATAGGCTATAGCAAGTGCTAGTGCGAGTGTGCCAGATACACACCTTCCCAATCTTCATACTATTATTATTACTACCGTACACTGACGTCGTGACATATTCGCACTCCGGACCAAGAGAGGTTCCACTCAGCGAGTCTGTGACGTATGCTGCCGCTGCCATAGTGTGTACTGCCAACTGGTCCTACAAATATGGGCGTGTGATAAAAGCGCGCGATGTTATCATAGCCAGCGCGATATCGCGCGAGATATGGACTGGTGTTATGTCAAGTATTCCATGTCACAACCACAGAGTGTTATCGAACAGGCTATATTGACACAACAGGCCACCGTGTCATGCGTGTGTGCATGTGAGTGTGTGGTACATGGTGTGTGTGTGTGCGTGCGTGTGTGTGTGTGTGTGTGTGTGTGTGTGTGTGTGTGTGTGTGAGTGAGCTTTGCGTTACTACAGCCTTCATCGCCTATTTTGTTTGGAGTTTGTGGTGATCTACATTGGCGTGCTAAGCCAGGCCTGCCAGTCGAGTACTGCTGTAGTCTTGCTGAACACACACACGCGCACACACACACACACGCACACACACGCACGCACGCACACACACACACACACACACACACACACACACACACACACACACACACACACAGTCACACGCACACACACAGTCACTCTGGCACTTTTTTGTTACTTTTCTTCATGCTATTATAACTATTGGCAATAATTTACTAGTTGATTCTGTGCTTGCCGGACCTCAGGAACCTGATCGGAGGGAGTGCTCGCAGCTCATGAGAATGATATGAGGTACTTCGTAACACTAAAAAGTCCAGGGTTCGCAGACGTATCGGTGTTTAGAGCGGCGCATGAAGTGGCACTTGAGTTTGTCCTCGCCTCCAGAGAAGTTTAACAGCGGCGTTACTGGAAAGTACGGATCTTCCTCTCATTCATACGTGTACATGTATATGCAGGTCTGTTGACACTATTGCTACAACGTTACTTTGTGATCTGATGATCAGTAAAATTAATGTTGACAGCATGAACAAGGCTTTAATACTTGTACAAACCGGTGCTCTGAGAAGCTCCGGCTTTCCTCATCCGCGTGCGCAGGATACCCGTGCACCGATGAGGGAGAGTCGTCACGTGGATAAGTACAATGACATGAAACGCTTTGCAGTCTTCTTGTCCTGGTGGCTGGTACATGGTGTGGGTGCGGGCAAAAAGGGATTAGAAATACATGTACTTTGAAATACAATCACTGAGTATTCTTTTACGATGACACAGCGGTGACGTTCGTTGATGCCTCGCAAGTCACAACTCATGCCACGGTACTGTCTAATGTTCGTCGTACATGAAACCGCAAAGTGTGACAACCTCCGAACACTGGAACGTAGAATGTACAATTTTAACAGGCAACAACTCGCGCGCGTGCGTGCGTGTGTGCCTGTATGTGTGTGTGCGCGTGTGTGTGTTTGTGTGCGTGCGTGTGTTTGTGTGTGTGTGCGTGCGTATGTGTGCGTGTGTGTATCTGTATGTGTATATACATGTACATGTACAATGCCAATGCCTATGCACTCGTACAGTCATGGTGACAGGCGCTCTGTCGATGAATGAAACCCTACTTAACTTAGTACTAGTAGTAGTAGCATGACCATTCAGGCAATGATTCATATTCAAACACAGTAACGGCACATGCACATGTATGGAAATACAAACTAACTTACTTGTCTTGGGAAAGGGGACGACATCACCAAACCCCGTTTCACTATTCACGCGCAGTGTATTTTGATTATGACCCTGCATGCGTGTCATAAACGATCCAACGATCGTCCATCCTATTCGGAGCTAGACGCTCGCACACCTACAGCAGTACATTGTACATACATGTAGTACAAGTCATGTAACTGGCGTAGAGTGTCGTAATACTCAGTAGCTTCAACGTTCAACATACACTGAGATAACTGCTACCAGGCTCAATGCTACGCCAGCCCTGTGAGGCTGTGACGAAGGCATATGTGCATGTCGTTTACCACCTGAAGCCGTGAAGGTCAGGCATACAGTCATGTACATGTACCTACTAGTATTGTGATAAAGAGCAGCTAGGAGCTAGGGATAGAATACCCCCCCCCCCCCCCCCCCCCTCAACGCAGTATACAGTCATGTACATGTACACGTACATTATACACGCCCCAACCAAGCCCAGGCCAGTCTGCTCATTCGCTGTACTGTTCCCAAGCACAATACAGTGTGTACGGAAAGAAGATGCCATTGAGAAACAGTGTGACAGTGCAGGCAGAGATGCTTTCCCGTGACAGACATGTCAGTCTGCTGTGAATCTGTGATGCAATGGGAGGTCCTACGTCACAGTACTGAATTACTAGAACATGTATACTTGACAGCAATGCAATGACAGCAGCTATAACCACTAATAGCTCTTCAGTAAACAAAATCCATCTTGAGTTCCGGTGAACTATTCTGTTTACGTGAGTTTGTTTGGCGATATGCACAGTTACTGTACCAACAGTGACTTGACTGACCGCGACTACACTCTACCCTGTGATACAGGCAGTTCAAAGTCAAAGAGCTGTTTCGGCCTCGGCTCAGGAGTCAGGACCGCCGGAAGCAGGTTTTTGAATGGTCCTGTAGTTTCATGGCCTTTTATACTTTGTGTGTTTTGTGGCGGGTACACACGTCCTCCACAGTAGGACGCGTTTGTTGGTGGCCGAAAAGTTAGTCCGGTGATAACCTGACCAACCGGACCGGTATCGGCGGGCCTGGGTCACCTTGTCAGGTGTCATCATTGGAGCTCAGAGTCACCATGGTTACTGGCCAAGCAGATCGCAAGGGGAAGTCTGGAGAATAACAAAGTCGAAGCATTTCGAAACCGGCTCAAAGCATCAGGATCAGAGTGTTCTAACTGCATGGGAGTGACACTGGCAGTCAGTGACTGCGAGCATTGTGTTTCAGATTAGTCCTACAGCCGGCAGGTATCTGCAGGCATGCAGGCAGAATCGCAGACACTCTGTGTATCTCTGTGCACGGCCCGGGTGTAATCTCCACAGAACGTCAGAAGCACTGCACTGGTGGGCTGTGTTGTGGTCAGTGCAGAGGAAGGCGAACACACCCTCTATCCATTGCCCTGGTGGCAGTGGTGTGAACAGCTGGAAGTCACTCCTGCATCTACAATGACGTGTAAATGTACATCCCAATGTTGCCATTCACTTGTGTGAACATCCACCACACTACAATCCTGTACCAAATATGACCAGGAGTGTAGCAGCAGCCAACGACTCACTGAGTCAGCCACATCAAGACAGAGGCAGGCAAGACCTGTAGTAGGCTGTACTTACTCTACTTGCTCTACTTGCCTGTTGATTGCACAAAGCATAAAACCCCGAGTTTAATACAACGAAACTAGCCTTGCTTCCCTATTGAGTATTGTACGGTTTGATCCTGTGACTGTGTCTGTACAATCATGATACCTTGCCCTTGGAGCTACACGTAAGTCCTGGCCTTGCTAGGGTTGCTGGCTGGCTGTGTGAGTGTTATTAGGCGTAGGGATGATGACTCAGCATGCATGCAAACCTGGCTAGCGCCAGCAGTTGTACCACCCCCTCTCTCCCCATCATCAAAGTTCGCCTAAATACCCATATGGCATGGAAAGAAATACACAAAAATTGCTGTACAAACACCTCTATCATTTATCTGTCAATCAACCCCCCCCCCCCCCCCCCAAACAAAACACCGGAATCTCCGGCACCACCCTCTCCCACGCAACACATCGCACCCCCCCCCCCCCCACACACACATACAGCAGGTGTAAATGCAATGCAATATTCTCCGCAAATGCAATGCAATATTCTCCGCAAATGCAAGCAATGACACCACGTCTAGTTGTGTAGGAGAGCGTGCACAGTACTTATGAAGCCAGCAATACATGAATGTGTAACAGTGTGCATCCTATTTATATCCCTATTTTATGGAAAGAGCTCATTAAAAAATTGTTCCCAATGAGCGACACCAGTGGTCTTCACAGTTACAGTGCTCAATATCTCAAGTTTGATCAACGCGTGCAGTAAAGGGGGGAGCAGTTTTAAGGTTAGCAAAAGCCTGCAGAGAATGGGGTTTGGGCATATTGGTAGCCAAACTCTTTTGTAATAGTAAAGTTAGTTCAATATAGAGGTAAAACGTACTGCCAGAACCTGATGTCCACTGCGTTAATCTGTGCTTTATGTGTAAATCTGTGCCTTTATGTGTAAATCTGTGCCTTTATGTGTAAATCTGTGCCTTTTATATGTGAATCTATACGTTCTAAGTGTATTTTGATACAGTTCCTCCTTCTTTTCCATAGTGAGCCTCGAGTGGCTGAAAAGAAATCACACTTGTATACCTCGCTGCCAATGAGCGTGGCATTTCTGAGCAGCTTCACCGCCGCTCAGAAGATGGTGATCTTATGCTCACTGCATACATACACAGATCCCTCCTTGTTGATGGCTAAGCCCGTGGGGTATCGTAGCGTGTCCGCTGATCCCAATATGGCGATGGGACTAAAATCATTAGCTGAGAATATCTGCATGAGGCACAAGATGAGGATAGGAATGTGTACACACACACACACACACACACACACACACACATCACACACACATCACACACACACACATCACATCACGCACACACACACACACACACACACACACACACACACACACACACACACACACACACACACACACATCACACACACACACACACACACACACACACACACACACACACACACACACACACACACACACACACACACACACACACACACACACACACACACACACACACACACACACACGTTAGGAACTAGTCTACTTCAAGACGCATTATGTCTGATGTGACGCGCAATTTCACGTCAAATTTGGCGTAAAACTCCTAATTTTGAGGCGAGCTGCAGGTCACTTGCGT